GTCACTGGCGCCGTGTTTTCCGAGGCAGGTCTGTTGTGCAGGCGGCTCGTGTGCTTGTGGCGACCGTACAATCCACCCGAGACCCCGCCAACAACGCCGTCCCCTCCGTCCGACGTGAGCTCCACGGTGGCGGATTTCCAGCGTTCCACCTCGTCATCAGCCAGCGCACTTTGTCTCGATTCCAGCAGCTGTAAAAACAACAATGAATCAGTACTGTGCGATGCGTACGGACACAACACATCGATCAATGCACCTGAAACAAGTCAGCAAATAAACTCTGACCCTCTTTCTTCTCGCTCGACTCCGCGCTGAATCCTTCGCAGCTTCCTTCGCAATGAGTGTTCCGCCTGAACCTGAAGCTCCTGCGTCCCGTCTTAGAATACGTCTCACAGGCGGCTGGAAAACAATTAAATGAGTGTGGTATGAATACAAAAAACTCAAAGTCACAGTAACATTTAACAAGGAAGGAGAAACAGTGTCACTTACACACAATGACGTCGTCTAAATCTGGACTTTTCCCGGAGCAAATACGAGGTCACCGTCTCATTATGAGGCGAGATTAGTCTGTGAAAACAAAATGTACAGTTATGATCGGTATCCATACGTATATATTCCCTTATACCGCAGAATGAAAGCATATTCTGTAAATCTGACCCTTGCTCCGGTTCGTAGCGCCTGTAGTTCGTCTCGGAGTTGTGAAGACGGCGCACCGCTTCCTGTAAACGACACGGCAAAGAAAACACACTTTAATAAAGCTGTTTCTGCTCACTTGTAAGGCTACTAGGCTACTCTTAGCTTAGCTTGAGGCTACGCTACGCTTAGCTTAGCTTGCAGTCATCGAACGTATTCTTACCGCTATCGTGGGACCGTGCGCCCGTCTCCTCTTCTTTGAGTCGGTTCCTCTCCTCCATGGACAGAAACCCGCAGAGTCCCGAACGCTCCAGTGGAGCGAACCGCTCGTTGATATCGGCGGTTTGTTGTTGGAGTTGACGAGACGATCCACTGAGAGCTTTCAGCAGCTTCTTCTCGTCTGTCTGCGGACTGGCCGAACGTTGGTGACCGCGGAGAGGAGTTGAAGGCGAGTTGAACGCGAGACGTCGTCCCGCCATTATTCACGAAGCAGCAAAAACCAAACAAAGGAACTGGAGATACAGTTCTTCTGAATATAGTAACTGTTTGTATGCTCGTGTATGAGTGTGACAGACATGCAATGTTGACAATGTATCATCAGATGTACCCTTGTGTCACTGAGGTTGAATGTTTTGCCATGACATGTAAACGGGTAACATATATGAATGTAACTTACTCAATCGATAGATGCAGAGCATAAAGGTCAGCATGTGTTCATGCTAAGTGTGGAAACACTAACAGTTTTGAGGAACCCGTCCTTGACCCTCTAGCAGAACTACGACCAGCCATTATAAAGCAGTTTATAGTTGTTAATGTTGTGTCAAAGGGTACGGCATTTAAACTTGTTCTTACACAAGTTTCCTGGCTTCATCTCCACCCGGACAGACATTTTTATGGAAAGCCAATAGAAGTTTGGGGCTTGCAGGGAACAGACACGTCATACCCAGCATCATTTCTGCCAGTTGAGCGCATTGCTAGAAGATGTGTGGTTAATACATCCTCTGTGCATTTAAGTAGGACCAAAGAAAAGCTCACTGTAGTCCTGCCACTATGCACTGTAGTTGAGCTCTAGGAGACTGATCTCTGCAGACCCCTCATGCTGATTCAAATGTTGTTTGCATGGAATGCTCATTTTACCTTGATTAAAACTAATTTTTTAGTTATTTTATTTACATAACATTTGCCATTGCTAATGGCGTACACAGTAATCTAGCATATTTGAATTAAATAAATCAATTCAAGCTAAAATGTAAGAGTCTATAATTAGGCTACTGAGCCTGATCTATTTGTACCAGACATTTTCTTACCTTTTAAAAAAATGTCACCTGGTCTAAAACTCCCTCTGCGACCCTGATTTGCATTTGTATAGTTTACAGCATTTTCATTTACATGTCAAAGCCTCCCCTAGAATTAGGAGGAGGGGGGTCATGGGGGGACAACTGCCAAGGGAGGCCCACTTCAATTTCTGACAATTTCCGGCAGTTTTCGGCGTTGCCCGCAAATTGCCGCAAACCTGAAATTCCACGACAATTTACAGTGCCGCATACTGCCGAAAATCCCACTTTTCATTCAGTGGTTGGACTTAGAGAGAGGTCAAAGAGCTCAGACGTCTGAAGGGAAGTCAGAGTGCAGCCACTGCTTCTTCACCTTGAAACGCCTCCTTTTTGACTTTTTACGGGCGAGTCCAACTGGTAGATGTCGGGGGAGAATTTGTTGAGGTGCATATTGTGAGAGTCTCAAGAACTCGTATGTGACCTTTCTTGGGAAACTCGTGACCTGACCTAGTCTACGATGAAATCCATATGTGGCTTGGGAAGACCATATCATGTTCTTCTATTTACCTTTCTCCTGTGTTTTCCTGTCTGTCAAAATGATTGACTTAGTCCCACTAAGAGGGTCGTGGAGGTTCCCGAAACAACATCTGGTTAGCATTCCTCGAACCTTCAGAGATGTATAAAAGCTCCTCGTCCCCCATAGTAACTTTGTCAGATCTTCCTGCTCCTTTTGGGGGAAGGAACTTTCTGTCCCTTTTCAGCTGAATTGTAGTCATTTGACTTCTGTCTGTGCTTATGGCTTGTGCTGATGATCTCTGTATTCTTTATCATGTTTCTATATTCTAGTTAGTAATAAATACTTAATCACAAAGCAAGCTCAAGATACTTTTGATTTCTCACATGGGCTAAATCCACAAATTTCCACCACAGTAAGATTCCAAATACCTCTCTGGGTGAACATTAGAAGTGCATCACTCACAGCAACTAGATGTCCTTAGAGGCCATTGGAGGACAGAAGTTGAGGTTGGGAAAAGAACCTTTCTGCTATGAAGCAGCATGTTTTCTAGTTTCCAGTGTTCCATTTGAGGATTTGTCTTCCTCTCCATATACTGTACGTCAGTACATTCCAGTTTGTACATTAACACTAGTGGTTATGATAACCTCCATTTGAATGATGCAGCATTGACTCCAATAGGAGCGGATGTATTATTGCCACAAAAGAAATGTGTGCACGTTGTGCAAGAACTGCATTCCGTTCCGTCATTTCAAGAGTTATTTTTTATCTGAATACTCTAATAACAAAGTAACAATAGCTGTGGTTGTATCTGTACTGTCCATTACCTCCTTCAGGTCACGTGTGGGTGCACGAGTACACGAGTGAGGACGTGTGCGCACGTCTTACCATGGGACCGGGCGCCCCACGCTGCCCTTGTGGTCCAACCACACAGTTGCAGTCTTCTTCGTCCACGGTGGCTGTTCTATTCAGAGGACACTGAGGAGACACAGTCCAAGCTTCATCGTGAGGACAATAAAGCATCAGGAGGACACCAACAGGAAGACTTATGGAGTCATTTCCACTCTGCACTCACCTTTGCTTCACACGATCAGAAAAACAGTGTTGTTGTTTTGCCGAGGAGAGTTTTAGATGTATTATATTAGGATTTATTTGTTGATATAAGAACTAGTGCAGGTCGATTTTTAAAGCACAAAATTCAAATGAATTCAAAAGTAGTGCATTTTTGTTTAAAAAGTACTACTTTATGAACAAGTCGAAATTAATAGAATAATTTGGTTTTAAACAGCAGTATTACTTTTACACTGTAGCAGCTCAAATATTTATTCTACATCCCAATTGAAACATTAATGCAATCAAATCAAATATAAAACCCGCATCAATACTGATTGACGTGGGTGACATCCAGCCTTCATAAGAACACATTCATATTCCTCCCCGAATCATTATTAATGAGCTCTTCTCGTTTTCTTTATCCAGCATGTCAGTAATTTGCAGAAGGAGCATAGAGGACAGACACTGCACTTACCCTTTCATCGTCCTGCATGAGACAGAGGACAAGAGAAAAAGGTGATTCTCATTATCATCATTGTAGCCTCTCACACGCAGATACATGCAGAAGTACACAATGTGACCTTTACAGGGCAGATTACAGTGGATAAGAACACATTCATCTCTTGATCTGTGGCGCTCTGGTTCCCCTCCAGCAGGATACAGGGACAGCTCGTCACTGTCCACTCCTTAGCTGGTCTCACTTCAGCGGCTGCGTCCTCATGAGGGCCGAGCAGTCACCAAAGATCACCTTCTCTATCTGCATGTTATACATTTTTGTTATGAGGCTTTTACTGTCAAGGCAACGGGGGCAGTGGAGGTAAAGTCCCCCCTCAGGACAGACCGTCCCGTTTCAGGGACCGCTCTGTTCGGCCTATGCGGCCGTTGGAGGACCAGACCAGGTCTACCGTGAAGGCTGGGAAAAACGTCCTTCTTCACAGGACATTCGGTTATGGCGTCATGGAAGGACAAATGCTTTTGGTGGGCGTGAACTTGACTGACTAATGAGCCACGAGGGTCACATGACTTCCGTCAGTCACGACTGTGAGACAGCTGTGTGGACCGTGTGGCTCTGGATTGGACGCCGGCAGGTGGGTGAGGACCGCTGCAAGGCCGTGTGCTGCACACCGAGGGGCCTACATGTGGTGGGAGGTGATAGTTGTCTCACCACAGAGTAGATCTCACACGCCGTTTCTCTCTCGCTCTGATGAGGGTCACAGTACAGACGGAGCTTCTGAATCTCCACCTGAATAAAAAGACAAGTGGTCAGAAAAATGGAAATGTTGTTTGGGTAAGAAGTAGTGGATTATTAATGAAATGACTTCATTATTATGAGGGCCAAAAAGATGAGCTACAGAAGGACAAATAAGAGATTTCACCTATTTTATCACAGACTAGTCAGTTATTCACTTTGTATAATATTATCTCATTTCCTCAGTTTAAATGTTGCTTGATACACCTGAATCCGTCCCTCTGATTGACTCCTCCGTGAGTCAGACACACGTGTCCCCTGCACTTTGAGTCAAAACGTTGGCTCGTTTGTACTCACGGCCACAGGGAGGTCGGTTCCCCGTCTCTTAGCAACCTGGGTCTCCCCATTGATGTAGATGGGCTCCACCGGTTCCAGCAGTTCTTCCTGGATCAGCAGATCGTCCAGGAAACTGCTGACCTGACGTGGTCTCACCAGGACTTTGAGCTGATGCCACTTTCCGTCATAAAGAGTCTGAGATGAGGCACAGATATTTCATAAATACTTTATTTCTTAAGGTCCTCTCAAGTACAACAAATCCTTAACTGGGAGTCATTTCATCTGACGACTGAAAGGAGCTGAGACATAATATGCTGGGATACCTGGCTTAACAAGACCCTTCAAAATCATACGCGCTACGTCCAAAATACTGTGTACATTGTGAAATAATACATTAGAATAATTTGAGTGATTTAGACGATCAGGTTTGATTCATACATCAAACAGACCGTATAATACAGCACGACTCATAATACATACTGATTGAAGGATCCTACCACAATGCTGCCACCGTGTTTGGGCTTTCCTCTTTTAGTTCCTATTTCCCTGCCTTGTGTTCCTGGCTTAACTTCCCTTGCTGGAGGAACTGTAGCTTTCTTCCTTCCTCCTCCAGCTCTGACTGGAGAGGGAACCACAGCTTCATCACAGGCTTCTGCTGCCCAAAGGTCACGTATGTGACGAATGAATATTCGGGGAAGACGTAATATATTACTACATTTTGTCAGAGGACCGTTGACATAAAATAAAAAAATGACATGCAACGGATATTACAATACTTTATTACTTCATAGTTCAGTAACATGTTTTGTGTTTCTGGTATTTTTCGTATTTATAAACTCCACCCGACACCAACCTGGACGCCTCTGAAGGTGACTCTCTGCTCCTCTGCAGTTAAGCTAGTGGTGGTAAAGACGACACTTTTGTCCTTTCCACTCAGTGTCACTGCGACCTGTATCTCCTTATCCTTGGACAGCACCCTCCAAAGGTCAAAGGTCAGCCGGCTAGAAGTCCCCTTTAGACGCAGGGTGGCTATGAACACGTAGGAAGGAGGGAGGCCTTCTGGGAAGATGTCCCTGGTACGAGGAAGAGGTCGACATACTAAATACACACAACAGTTGATGGAGTAAACAGATGGATTTGTAAATTCTACCTGGTGTCCTCAGTAATGTCGGTGGAGGCCGTCAGAGCGTAAGCGGCCTCCAAAATCAAAGAGCCAGGGATCTTCTTGGCCTTCTTCTGAATGTTCATGCCCAGCAGCAGCTCAAAGCCTTTCTCATCCCGAGAGGCCACCGGGATTCGTGTTGGACAAACAGACTCTAGAAAGAAGAGAGGTCATTCGGTCAGCTACGCAAACCTCACGCCAAAGCCTGAGCTCAACCCATGACGCAAACATGGAACGTCCAGTGAAAGCAAGAAGATGAAGCCCTTATTGATGTCAAGTCCTGCTTCTCCTACATGGGGACACAATGTCTGCAGCTACTCTCTGCTTCCCTCTGCTCTTCCCTCAAGTCAGTGAGAACTTAGAACATGTTGACCTAATGCAAGCGGACGAGGTACATGATTAAGTGCTTGTTAAAGGAATGAATACACGCATAGTAATGTAGTGTAATGGGAAGTGGGAGGAACTACCAGGTACCCAGCGCTCCTCAAGTCCCTTATGACTAAACTCATTGACTCAACTTCAACCTGCATGATGGAATGTATCTGTCAAGTCACATCGAGGTTATTGTTTGAAGAAAGGCGTGAACTTGTAACACAGAGAATTGAGAAGAGTCCTTATAGACATGTCAAGTACAGAGAGGGACTAGATATCAACCTTCACAGAGCTTCTGCTCCATGGAACCCTGAATGAGGTCAATGGTGGTGTAATCTTCGGCGTACAGGACTTAGGCAGATGACGGCCTGTTGGCGATGGATACCAGCTCTGAGGTGGTGATCTCACTGCCGACTCCAACAGCAAACACTGTAATGCCCTGAGCTCGGGCCTCCACACTGGCATCCACCTAAGGAGACACAGGCAGCAGTGAATAGTGGAGAGGCTTTCCATTTAGACCGTAGAGTGGATGCTGGAAAAACAGTGCCAGAGATGTAATATTAATAATATTACAGCTTTCCCCAACATGCTGGGAGCTGCTCCCTCCTTGAGGTTCCATGGCTTACAAATATGGGTCACCCAAATAACCATGACTTGGTTTCACTGAGGCACCTGAACGCAGCAATGGGACATTTACCACGTCGTCCTGAGATTTGCCATCAGTGACCACGACGGCAATGCGATTTTTGACCTGCCTGGCTCTGTTGGAGGAGGCGAAGACGTGGTCCACGGCAAACTTGATGGCCCTGCCAGTCTGGGAGACAGTCAGAGAACAGTGAGGACCTGGTAGAACCGACGGAAAAACCCACAACGCTGTGAGGGATTGTGTGTGTGTGTGTGGTAACTGGTATGCTCACCGGTTCCCACCCATTGACAGCTGCATCACATCAGAGTACAAATACAATTATAAGGACACAAAAATGCTTTTAAAAGTCTCCGTAGGAACAGCACAACCTGTAAACAAGTGCTTGTGGTATCGCTGTGTGGTGCACCTGGGGTGACTGAATGTTTGCACCCTTTGACCTGCTCGAGTGGAGTCGCTCCTCTTTAGGATGTTTTACAAGTGGCTTGCTGTCCGTCTTCTGCATGCGAGGCCCCGATCAACCCGGGGAGGCAATTGTTGCAGCTACCAGGTCATTGAGGACATATGCACATATATTGCGTCAAGTGTCAAATATCAATTGAAATAAGTATTATTATTCATTGTCATGAAATGTTATAATTATATTAATCATCTAAATGTAATAATTGCATTTTTTAAAGCCATTGTGATATTTTTCATACAATTACATACTATGTAAATCTTTCCATTCCCCAAAGAGCCTGAAATTGTACCATTTTGCCACCAGGTCCAAATTTGCTTCAAAGCCGCGTACTTCTACTCAGGACTCGACCTCATAAGTCGCAACGAATGTGCGAATTATTTAATTATTTAAACAATAATTGTTTTGATAATAAAACGGTTTCACAGTGCATGAACACTGTCCAGCTGTGTTTTCTCCTTTATTAACGCGCCCTTAATGTGATTTATTCATCAGCCTTTAAACAATGTGTCAAAGTCAGATCTTTATCCAGAAGACTGGAGCCCAACACTTCCTGATTGTAGAATATTCTTCTAACACCTGCATGCAGATGGGCACAGAGGTGCAGAGAGAGCATGCTGTCCTGCCTGTGTGTTTCCTCCCAGGTAGCTGATGCTCTGTATGGCCTGGATGAGCTTCGCTCCGCTCTGGTGTTGCCCCAGAGGAATCTCCATTCGAGGCGTGTCACTGTACTGGATCACAGCCACCTGCAGCGGACACAAACAAACCCCCTACAGCTCTACAGTCTCTACAGCTATGACGCTGGAACCATCTAATACAGGAGGGAGACATCAGTTCTTATGTCAGGGCCTTTGTGAACTAACCACTTGCAACTAATAAACTGGTTATACAAATGAAGCATTTAAAAGGGTTACATATCATTTTCCCATTACATTAGTGAGGTGTTTGAGGCCTCTCCAAACCGAAGCAGAGTCACTTGCTGAGAACTGTTGTTGGAGTTTCTCAGAGTACAGTCGTTTAGCGTCTCTCACCGCCTTGCTAAACTTGTATTTTGCCTCTGTGTACAAGTCTTTGTCCCCACTCCTAAATGCCTGATCCTTCTGCAGGCGTAGTGTTCTGAGCTCCGCTGTGAACCAGGGTTTGTCATTGTTGTAACTCACCCTGGTGCATGATGGTACACAGCTGTCCTCACAGAAGCCGATGTAGGAAGTTACAGCCTCTGTGAACTCATCCAGACTGTCAGTAGCTGAAAACATCCCAGTCTGTGCAGTCAAAGCACGCCCGAAGATCCTCCAGCGCCTCACTGGTCCACTTCTTGAATTCCCTCACCACAGGTTTGCAGAGCTTTAGTTTCTGCCTGTATGCAGGAATCAGATGGACCATGACGTGGTCAGAGTGTCCCAGTGCAGCACGAGGGACGGCGTGATGAGCCCTGCTTACTGTGGTGTAACAGTGATCCAGCGTGTTCTCCTCTCTGGTGGGCATTTAATAAACTGTCTGTATTTAGGAAGTTCATGGGTGAGATTTCCTTTGTTAAAGTCCCCGAGGACAATAACTAAAGAGTCCGGGTTGGTCCGCTCCACACGCCGTATCTGGTCGGCGAGTGTCCGCTGTGCCTCGTGCACGTTGCCCGCCGGCGGCATGTAAACACCGACCAGGATGAATGAAGCGAACTCACGGGGGGAATAAAAGGGTTTGCAGTGGATGAAGAAAGTTTCCAGATCAGGAGAACAGTGTTGTAGGATCACCGTTACGTCATTGCATTCTGGATCACACTCACTGTTTGAGTTCCTTTGCTCTCAGTGAGGAGGAACAAGCAGTTTATCACATGCAGAGCGGAGAGTGCGGGTCGGGGTGTCGGGTTGGACCAGGTCCTGGATGTAAGCTGGACCCCATCCATTCACAGCACGGTACGTGAGCACCATGTTTAGAGGACTTAGGAAGGTTAAAGAGCAGTGGAGCTGCTGCATTGTGGATGAGCTGCAGAGGTGGAATGGTGGTAGCAGGAGACCTGCAGGAGAGAGTTACAGGAGTCAGACTGACGACGCTTCATGAATGAGACCAATGAATAAAATGCATTTAGTGTCCACCAGGATACAGCCCTGATTCTGACACTATGTGATCAATAAAGACACCGCTGTCACGTTGACACTAATCAATAGAATAACACCAATGCACAGCTATGATTGTGTTCAATTCAATGATGAAAACCCCAGTGACATTGAACACACCATCCAGTGTGATACCTCATTGCACCACGATGCTCCTCTTAATGTAGTGATGAAGTGGTGATCCAGAGGTTCTACAGAGGTCTTCACCTCCTTCAGAGACTCATTTATGACATGTAGTAATAAAAACATCTGATCTTTTTATGGAGGTAAAAAGACGGAAGAGAAGCAGAGTTGTTGTTTGACAGGCGACAGGAATATTTCTATGACTGCCTGCGAAGACCGCGAGCAAATGGTGGCTAATAGAGGCCGTAAGAGCAGGAGAGAACAGCCGTACCCTCTTACAGACTGTGATGTCACGAGAGGCTCGGTCTTGGAAGGGAGCTACGTTCACCGGAGATGGCTGTAACTACTATGGCTCCATCTGCTGGTGGAGGTAGGAACTCCACCCCGAAACTCAGAGCATTCCCCTCACACCTGAAACCCATCAGGGTGTGACGACCTGGAGGCCTCCATGAGGGCGGAAGACACACCGCTGAGGGAGGAGAGACGAGCTGCAGATTGGGCCCGCGGCAGAAGAGCAGACCAAGACAGAAGGATTCCCGAATGCAGGAGAGACCGAGAGGACGGTGTTCTCTCTTTAAAGAAGTGGATTTCCGTTTCCCCTCCAAAGACAAGACATTAGTTAAGTTTTACCGGCGAAGATCGACCGAAGCCTGAGTTACTCCCTGTTTTGACTGTTTTCTGTTTAATCTGAAGGACGTAAATTAAAACCTTTGTTTGCATTTTTGAACTCTGTGTCCTCGCGCTATTTGAACTACCCCGGAGAGAGCGGCGGCGCCTCTCGTGACGTCACAAGACAAAGCGTAGAACACGTGGTTCCCGCTCATTTCCTTTGTTCAGTGGTGTGACTGGCCCGCTTTGCTAAAAGGGTTTAGTCAAATTGACGAAGCGATCAAGAGAGACCGAGTCAGGCTTACGGGGTTGTTAGAAAACGTCTTGTTTACGACAATACACCGGTTGCTATGCAACTTGGGTATGCCTGCTACCTTGTGTAGACCGACAATCATCCAACCCTTGATCATCTAAAAGAACGACAGGTGGGTTGTTCAATTGTTCTGTGTAGATCTGTAACCGGGGTTCAATCATGCAGAATCCTAAAAATGTTTTTACTTTCAGACGCTTAAAACGTCAGCGTCCCTCCAATGATCTCCCCCCTCTTCTCCACCACCTCCATCTCTGATTCACACACTCCCACAGCCAGGGCCTATGAACACACAGGAAGAGAAGGCCTGTGAACCTCACCAGGCGTTTAAGGATTCTGGAATATGTTAGAATCTGGGCGCTACATCTGCTGAACAAGGTCTGGCTTAAATACAATGTAGAGATTGGTTATGGCTGTCAGACAAATGATCCCAGTCAGAAAAAACATCCTTGTTTGGAGCAACGCGACTGCTTCTACGAACTACACTTTGAACCGATAATGAAAAGTTTGTGGAATGAGAACTTCATATCTGCCGTCTCCCTGTTTATGGCTGTGGATCATCTTCATGTCGACTGGTACCACATCCAGGAGGCTGCGGAACTTGACAAGTGGTGGGAAGAAGTACGAGAGCAGAATGAGGAGTGGGAGGTACCCGATGATGATGAGACTGACGTCGACGTGTAAAAACCAAACACGCTGAGAGAAAAAATGAAGTGAACATCTTGAGTGTCCTGTAACGTGATTTTAAAAACGAATGTTATTCTTCAGACTACCGCTGATATGTTTTGTATAACAGAAATAAAACACATTTGTGCTCATTGGTACTTTGACACTATCATGGAAGGGACGCTGCAGATGTATTATGATCCAGCACATCCCGAAGGATTGGGCAGTGTGGCCGAACTGCCGTTAGAGAAGGAACCGGGGCGACGCCGTCAATGTCCGCGGTGAATTCATTTTTATTGGAGCAGGACGCGTATCCGCTGCACGCTGAGGCAGCCGTACATTGTCCGAGGAACAGGGTGTTGGTCAGCGGTATCGACAGACAGTTTCAGATGGATCCTGTTGATATGGGAGAACATCCAGAGTATCGAAGTATTTTCCAAATACGTGTGAGTTAGATGTCTTTCTAACAAATCAGGCTCCACTGTCGCCAGAGCCTCTAAAGACCTTCTGAGTGAGGGCCGTATACCAGTGACTGCAAACTGACCAAGGGACAGAGTCTTATAATAAGCCGTTTAGGAGACTGTTGGATCCACATAAAATGACACATTTTTCAACCTCAAACGAGACCAAAGCAAGTGTGGTGGACATACAAGACACGAATGTGGAGATATTTAACATCTGTTCACTCTGATATGTGGACGTGGTTCAAGATCTTGTAGACGTGTAGAACAACTCTCATCACAGATCTATAGAAATGGCTCCATCGGCTGTAAACAAAGACAATGAAAAGGTTGTTAGCTTCAAATTAAAGGGGGACACCGTGAGAATATCAAAACTCTGAGGTGTTTAGGAAGGGTTATAAACTAACATTCCCCGATGAGCATTTTACAATACCAGTGTATGGCCAGAGATGCACCAGTTTATAAGCTTACACACTGTGTGGGTGAGTCTGTGAAAGGGGCCTTTTACGAGAGGGAGCTGCAAAAGGTAATTATAGGTAAAAACAAAGTCTTTAAAATAGAAAAAATCCTGGACAGAAGTTAAGAAGCAGGTGATGGTAAAATGGAGAGGCTGGCCGGTTTAATACGTGTGTCTTAGAAAAAGACATTGTGGACGTGTGATTAAAAAGACAAACGCACACACCGTAAGAGGTCACTCTTTATGTCACGCTACCAAGTAACGCCTCATTCCAGGTATATCCTAAGAATGAGATATGGAATTATAGGTGGGGTGGGGGTTTGTGACTCTATACAGGCAATAACTAAAGCGATTCATTTACCACTTAGTAGTTACCCTCCTCTGGCGGGTGTATCGATGCATTATAGCCGTGTTATAAATCCCATCTACTTCCTGCCAGTGGCGTCGGAGTCAACTATGACCTTTGAAGGACATCTGGCGGCAATACTGGGCTTTAAACACAGGGAACCTTTTCCATTACCCTCAAATACCAAATCCCTTTTTGCCCCATTCCCAGCAGACATTCATGCAGCTTGTTACACTTTATACGTATTCTCTCTGATGACTGCGGCAGCTGCACACTAGAAAGACAGACGGCTGGCAGTAACACGGAATGACTTTGGCCACCGATACTCCCTGTTCTGTTTTAATCTGGAGCCTGGCGACGGCCACTCGGGGAACGGGTCACTAATTAAGACAGGAAATGTTCCATTGGAGGTCCGTTTGAGAACAGCTCTGCCCCGGACTATAAATCTCATTTGTTATTCTGTTTTTGACTCATGAAGATATTAAACCAGCGACAAGTGTTGATAGATAACTTCTAAAAACCCAATGAACACCGTAGAGTTGACAAGCGTTGGTAATGGCACAGATTTTATGGGAGTTCTAGCTTGTGATCCACTTCCTAAACGTGCATTGCACAAGTATCCGGCTATGATGATTGTAAACACGCACCAGGTTGGCTCTTTATATCACAAAGCACAAGCACGGTTTT